TTTCGTTTTTCTTGTTACTGTGAGGATTGATCTTAAGAGATACAATTTTTGTGTGCTGTATTGACTCTTTATTTAAACATTTTGTTGTTTCTTTGCCTTTAAACAAATTCTGTCCTATTCTTGTTCCCCTTTGATAATTATTGCTGTGACTAATATTTTTGCTTTATAATATATATACTATGCTGATAATACTAATAATATAATACTTATAATACTTATAAAGTAATATAATATACTTGCTTTACTTGTATCTATACATATTTATTTTTAATATTTTATCAATTTTATTGTAGTGATAGTTTAAAACTAAGTTCTAATGTCAATATAATACACTTTAATATTTCAAGTTTTATAATTTAACCTTAATATTTTGCAAAGCTCTTTGGTTTTTTTGAATGACAAAATTCACACACATATACACTGAATTAAATTCTGACAAATGCACTGATATTGCTTCAAAATACATTTATTGCACATGTTCAGGTAATATCTGGAGTCATATTTGCTGGAATATTGAGTGAATCCCATTATAGATATTTATATTTTGTTCTATTTTGCAGTGTATATCAGTGCTGATAATAATATATGGAACAAAATAGTGCTCAAATATTTAATTTTTGTTTGGCATTACTTGAATTAAACTAATTTTATAATTTAGGCCCCGTAGTGGACTAAAAATGAGTTTTAATACAGATATATTTTATAGATGCTGATGTTGATTTGTAAAAATCTCAATATAAATTCCATATATGAATTTGTGAAGAGATGTGGAGATATTAATTTGTCGTACATTTTGTTGTTCTGTTCATAAAAATGTAAGTATGCATTTTAAACACTTTGGGAAATGATAATGTGGGGTATATTCAAAATATTGTTTCTTCAAGTATGTGAATTTACCTAAAAGTATGTCTATATTAGTCATTATAATAAGTATGAGAATATATGATTTATAATGGATATTTGATGTGACACAACATGTAATTAGAGAAAGATCATTTGGTAGTTCTATAGACACATTTTTAATTTTTTTGTATGAGTATGGCTGTTAAAGTGGAAATGAACAATGAACAAATAAATAAATATATCTAAAATTATATGTGAGTGCGGGGTCACACAATGTATTTATGACTACATTCATCTGTACTTTCTGATCAAGGATAAATAATCATAGTAATATATATGAATGATGACATCATAGATGATGGGGCAAAAGTTGGTATTCTTCTGGGAACAATTCTCCTATGGGCCAACTCATTATGCTTTGAGACTAGCCTCACCAGTATTTCTACTTTCCCATTTCCTCCCACAAAAAAAAACAAGCCTAGGGATTTGGAGATATTTATAAATATGTGAATCACCTTAAAGTGAACAGATGCCAGTCACAGACTGGACCCATAGAGTAGTATATTCAGTCACACGGAACAGAAACTTCTGACACCCTGTGAGTGGCCTTTCAGATTATTCATCTGAGCTCTTTGTTAATTTGTTTAGTTTTTTGGGGGGTGCATACCCAGCGATGTGCAGGGGTTACTCCTGGCTCTGTGCTCAGGAATTACTCCTGGCAGTGCTTGGAGTTCCATATGGGAAGTCCTGGTTCGAAGCTGGGTCTGCAAGACAAGCACCCTATCCATTGTACTATCACTCTGAGAGCTTTTTAATTAGAACTTGTCCTAAGTTTTAGCGCTCTTACTGCTACTTTAGGCAGACTAACTCACATTCACCTCCAAACATAAACTGGTAAATCTGTTCCCTTTGAAAGTCTAGGATTACAAGCCCAGATGCCCAGTTCCCTTCTGAATACTATCCCTAATACAGATAAATCATTAGAGACTGGTTCATTCATTAAATTTGTATTTTTTTGGGGTATTCTATATGTTTCCCCTATCCTGAAATTTAAATTATTGTTTCCTTATACCTCTTAGGTGACTAGAAAGAAATATCATGGAATCAAATGACCTGATATTATCTGACAATGTGATCCTTAATTCTAATTGAATTTTCAATATTGTATATATTATGTAATTACAGCTGGAATGAAATTATTTTGGGTCTGCCATTCTGATACTTTTGTGTCATTTTGTATCTATTAGATTGTATTTATGCTTGTATGTGTGCATATGTAATGTATTTATAAACATGTGTCTAGGATGGTCAAATTATGTAGGATATTTGAAATATATTGTACAATACCAATGATAATGATGAGTCTCCCTAAACTCTGTGATTGTGGGTAATGTCATGCATGAGTAAGAAGTATATGATATTTTCTGTCTGTGTGTTGTGAGGTAGAACGATCTGAGCACATTAATGTGAATAAGAATATAAAGTGTATATTTTCTGACAACCTTTTGTGAGTAAACACAGAAAAATGAATGAAAGAAATGCATTGCATGTTTCCAAAGTTAGTCATATTTTGGAATCCTTAACTGATACCATCATAACTAAAACAAAGAGGAATAATTATAGGATAGTGACCAAGCATGTGCTTTTAAGGAATAAGTTTTTTAGGTAACTTACTTAACAGGAAAATCTGGAGTATAGGTGAAATATATCTTTCTAGGTTAAGTAAAATTGTATAACGATTAGTATAAAATTGTGTATCAATTATATAAGAATTTTTAGTATCTATTAGTACTAGAGACTTTGTTTCTTTAATAAGTAGAATTATCATGGAGTGAAATTATTTTGTCAAATGTGCAATTGAACAGGCTGAATCTAAAAATTATTGGACATATAGAATTTAAATCTGGGTTGGGATTATGAAGGTTTGTGAAAGAAAGTTTTAAAGTTTTAAAGTAGGCCAATATAAAAATAAACTCACTAGTGAGGATGAGATTTTAAAAAAGAAGTTATAGGGAAAGTAAAGGAATAAAAATTTACAGATTGTGGGTTTCTTTGCTTTCTAAGTTTGAAAGGAAAGAATCCAAATGAATAGACCAGGTCTTTCTTATAGCTCATATATTTTCAGGAGTATGACTGATACCTGGGCCTTATCCAAGCCCCTTGCATCCATAAAATTTCACGTATTTGCTAGCAGAATTAGAGAATGAAAAGTCCAAGAAAAAAATCACATAAGTAAGGGAGTATTTATTCCCAAATTCCAGAATGAAACTTTTATTTTAAAATCGAAGTTTCAAAGATATTGTGGATAACAATTGAGAAATCGTCTATGATATTTTCCAATTTGTACTTTTATGACTATTGCTGACTTTTCTTAGAGTAAGGCTAAGGATGCTCAAGAACAAAAACCGATAAAGATGATTTACAAGATGAGGCAAAGGATGAGACTCCAAGGTAGGAGGAAAAATGGGTAAAAACGACAGAAATGGGTCGAAATGGGTAAAAATCTTTCATAAAGCAACAAATTGACTACTGTATTAACTCTAATCAAAAGGCCAAATAGATTAGGAGATAAATATTTTCATTAGATTTGGTGACAAACAGGCACTGATGAACATAGAGAAATCAGTTTTATTTGGGAGAATATGGAAGTCACAATATAGTAAGTTGGTGGGCATTAAAAGTCAAGGCCAAAAAGATTAAATCCTTGGCACTGAGGATCTGAGAATTGCATTTAAGAAAACTCTAAATAAAGAACCTTCTTTTCTTGTTATCTGCAGTATATTTTAAGGAAATTTTATACAGGATTCAGGAAAAAGAGTGATAACTAGAGAGGAAAAGTTATGTATATATATTTATGACAACGTAGTCTTGCACAAACTGAAAAAGAGGTCTATAAAATTTTGGAATAAAATGGAATAATAAAGTTGGGTCTTCAAGAAGGAAAAACTATTTTTTTCCTCAGAAACTAGCAGGTAAGAGTAAAGTTGTGAATAAATTTAATATTAGGTTGATACTCATCGATTTACTCAAGCAGGTGCCAGTAGCATCTCCATTCATCCCTGTTGCGTGCTAGTGTAGCCCAATGGCATCTGCTCGTTCTAGGAACATGCAGAGCCTCAAACCGATCATTCAGGGTCTTGATGAAGAAGTCTGACAATCTTATAGGTGGGCATCCACGCGATCTTTTGATTATAATTTTAAATTACCATGTTCTAATATGATAATATTTTAGTTGTGCTTATTTATTGCTAATAAAATGCATGCTTCTTTGCTTTTATTCAGCTCTATACCCATTTTCATTATACACCTCACTGAAGGTTGATGTAGCATGAAGGAAAAGAAATAAGGAAATGAATATTACAGTCTTATGGGAGAGTAGGTTAAGATAAAAATGAAGCAATAATATCTTTTATCTCAGAGACATACATTATTAAAGAGCATGATAAATAGACAAATAGATCAGTATAAAATTGAATAAATATTGAGACTAAGATAAAAAAGCATAAGAATATAGGGAAACTTGGAAATATAAGTCTGTGGTCTAAATGAAAAAAAAAGGAATTTAGTGTTTCATAGTAGAATAGATGGAATGATGATAAATTCAGGGGTCTTCACAGAATTGGGAGATCAAAATAAAGTCTGAAAAAAGTTTATTAAAATTATTATTTGACAGTTTTAAATGTTTTATTTGTGCCATGAAAGGATTTCTAATGTCTTGTTTGCAGTTTCTTCTTCCATGTTTATCTGATTTTCTGCTTTTCTCCAAATTCCCAGAATACAGGCTATAGTGTATGGCAAGAAAGTGAAGGGATACTGTAGCTTAAGGTAAGAATTAGGAAGATTTGTTTATGTTGTCTTCTATCTTATCTTTTTCCCTTGCCATGTATAATTACTCAAATAACTATCACACCTTTATGGGGTTTCTATAAGTTCAAGATAGAGAAGTAGAAATCAGTGACTCAGAAATGAGTAGACCTGAAATTGTTAACCACAAAATGCTCATAGTCTAATGAGGGGGTGGGGAGCCGAAACATGGATAAACACGTTCAATTGCTGACCTTTTGTGTTGGAGACAGGATGTTTGAAAGAAAGTGAAGAACTCCCCCAACACACCCTCTTGGTCTCATCCCCCATCTGTATTCTCCCACCTGCCTGCCATGTTGGGCTTCAATGGTACCCCCTTCCAGCCAGCCACACTCCAGTTGACAGGCATTCCTGGGATGCAGACAGGTCAAGGCTGGGTTGCTCTGGTTTTCTGCATCCTCTACCTGATCTCCATCTTAGGCAATCTCAGCATCCTCGCTCTGGTGATTCGGGAGCCTGCTCTGCACCAACCCATGTACTACTTCCTCTCTATGCTTTCTCTCAATGATTTGGGAGTGTCCCTCTCTACACTTCCCACTGTACTTGCTACCTTCTGCTTCGACTACCGTCACGTTGGCTTTGATGCCTGCTTGGTTCAGATGTTCTTCATCCACACTTTCTCTTTCATGGAATCAGGCATTTTACTGGCCATGAGTTTCGACCGTTTTGTAGCTATTTGTGATCCACTGCACTATGCAACTGTACTTACCAACAGCCGCATCTTGGGGATGGGCTTGGGCATCCTTGCCAAGAGTTTTACCACTCTCTTTCCTTTTCCCTTTCTGGTGAAGAGACTGCCTTTCTGCAAGGGCAATGTTTTGCACCACTCATATTGCCTCCATCCAGATCTCATGAAAGTTGCATGTGGAGACATTCATGTTAACAACATCTATGGACTCTTTGTGGTCATTTTCACATATGGTGTAGACTCATCGTTCATCTTGCTTTCCTATGCATTGATCCTGAGAGCTGTGCTAGCCATTGCATCCCGGGAACAGCGTCTCAAGGCACTCAACACTTGCATGTCACATATCTGTGCAGTGCTGGCCTTTTATGTGCCTATCATCGCTGTTTCCATGATCCACCGCTTCTGGAAAAGTGCTCCACCTGTTGTTCATGTCATGATGTCCAATGTTTACCTATTTGTACCCCCCATGCTCAACCCCATCATCTATAGCGTAAAGACTAAAGAGATACGCAAAGGGATCCTCAAGGTCTTTAATAAATCCCAGAGTTAAAGAAGATTGCCGAAGCTAAGAGAAATCCTCTGTACTAAAGTCTTAGATATGTTTATCAATTTTTAGAATCTACAAACAGGAGGAGGAGCCCACAATCTTGATAGTTGCTATGGAACTAACAAAGGTTTATCTGATTCAATAAAATGACATCAATATATATTGAATTTTATGTGAAATCTGTATACTGGTTGCTGAGAATGTTTAATAATAAGTAAGACATTCATAAACAGTGAGATAAGCTTATTAATAGGAACCATTTTAAAAAGAGCAAAAGTTATGCTGAAAAGCTTTGTCACATATATAGAAACAACAGACGTTCAAGTAACAGCAAATAGCTTTGAACACAAATAAATATACTTACTCCTCAGAGTGAGGAAAATAACATAAACAGTAAAAAGAAATAAAAGTCTGTGGGATGAATGTTGGTGCTTCTTGAAGAGATTCTATTTGTTTTGTAAAATTATCATAGGCTTTTAATGTATATGTGTAGTAGCATGTAAAGTATAAGAGGAACTAAAGTACTTTGAACAAAGCTTTAAGAAAAAGGGAAGAAGACAATTTTGATTTACCACTAGATAAGAAGTATTAAGTCAACAACATTTAGAATCTCTCTATCCCAAGTGTGTTCTAGACTTGGTGTCTGGTAGACTGTTAGAAACATGTACTTTTATTTTTCTTTTTAAAAATTGAATCACTGTGAGATATGCAGTTACAAAGTTGTTCATAATTGAGTTTCAGTCATACAATTTTCCAACAGCAATCCCCTCACCAGTGTATATTTCCTGTCACCAATGTCCCCAATTTCCCATAGCCCAATAGTCCGATAGCCCCCACAACTTACCTCTATGGCAAACACTTCTCTCCCTCCCCCCTTTCTCTCTCTCTCTCTCTCTCTCTCTCTCTCTCTCTCTCTCTCACTCCCCCCGCCCCACACACACATTCTCTTTTCAGGAACTGTGGTTTGCAATACTGCTACTGAAAGGGTATAATCCATGGCAATTTACCTCCTTTCAGCACTTAGTTCTTGCCCAAAGTGATCATTTCCAACTATCATTGTCATAGTGGTATCTTCTCTGTCCAACTGCACTCCCCCTGGCCCTTTATGGCAAACTTCCTACCATGGACCAGTTTTTGAGTAGTATTCTTATACTACATATTTTTTTTAAATCCTGTAAATGAGTGAAATAATTCTGCTTATCCCTTTCCTTGTGACACATTCACATAACATATACTCTTCCTGTTGATCCATATATAAGCAGATTTCATTATTTAATTTTCACTAACAGCTGCATAGTATTTCATTGTGTAGATGTACCATAAGAGAAACAAAATCTTAAGCCCCACAAAGACCTACTAAACTTGACCCACATTTTTTGTTAATTTTTTTCCATTGAATGACTGTGATATACATATTTACAAAGTTTTTCATGATTGTGTTTGAGTCATACAATGCTCTAACACTCCTCCTTTCACCAGTGTACATTTTCTACAACCATGTCCACAGTTTCCTTTCCATCACTCTTCTCCACCCCAGACTGCCTCTATGGCAAGAACTTTTCTTCTCTTTCTTTCTCTTTCCTTTTGGGTATTATGGTTTGCCATACAGGTACTAAAAGGTAATCAGGTTTGTACCTTTACCACTTTTCAGCACCCAGTTCTTCACCAGAGTGATCATTTTCAACTATAGTAATCATAGTGGTTCCTTCTATATCCTAACTGCCCCCCCACCCCCACTGCCCCACATGACTTGTGGCAAACATCCAAGCATGGACCAATCCTCTTGGCCCTAGTTTCTACTGTCCTGGGGTATTAATCTCGTACTACGTTTTTTTTTAATAGCTCACGAATGAGTGCAATCATTCTGTCTGTCCCTCTCCTTCTAATTCACTTCCCTCAGCATGATACTCTTCACATACGTTCATTTATAAGTGAATTTCATGACGCTATTTTTTATAGTGACGGCATGGTATTCTATTGTATATATGTACCATAATTTCTTAATCTGGTTGTTTGTACTTTGGCACTTGGGTTATTTTTAAGATTCTGGCTATTGTGAATAGTGCTGCAATGAACATAGAAGTGCAGATGTCTTTTATGCAGTGTATTTTTGGTCCCTAGGGCACCTGAATCCATGAGGTACATAGAGGAAAACATAGGCAGAAACCTTCATGACATTGAAGCAAGTGGAAGCAAAGATAAACAAATGGGACTACATTAAACTAAGAAGCTTCTGCACCTCAAAATAAATGGTGACCATGATACAAAGATAGCTCATAAAATTGAAAAATTATTTAGCCAATGCACATCTGATAAGGTCTTAACATAAATATAAAGCACTGGTAGAACTTTACAAGATAGTCATATATATTTTTTATATATTTTATTAGTGAATCATCATGGGGTACAGTTACAAACTTACAAACTTTCATGTTTGCAAGATAATCATATTTTAAGTTTGGTTTAATCATGTTTTAAATTCAAGCTGAAGTTGTTATATCTTGAAGTACACAGTGATTCCTTTTTCTATTGCATCTCAAATAATGCCAATTTCATGCTTAAAAAATATAAACAAGAGGATGAAAACAATTACTCATGCATAACAGTTCTGGAAAAGTGTTTCATAAAATGTAATTTCCAAACATCATCAGACATGACTTGATAATTTGTCAGTCATGTAAATCCTCAGGCCTTTCCTCAGATCTCCTGAACTAGAGTCTCTACAAGATAGGTTGCAACCATTTCTGTTTTAATAATTTATTGAAGTAATTTATATATATGTTTATTGTAATATATATGAAAAAATTTTTAACTTAGAATGTTGACCTTGATTATTTTTGAAAATTATAAATAGCTGCCTATATACAAAGGGAATGTTTCACATTGAAAAACTTGAGGGATTTGTCTAAATCAGATTAGGAGTGGTGCTTATTCTATTTTTATTTTTCACTTCTATTTACTTAGACATCATGATTTACAATACTATTGATAAAAATATATAAGGCACTGGTAGAAGTTTACAAATAATCATATTTTAAGTTTGGTTTAATTGTGCTTTAAATTCAGGCTGAAGTTGTTAAAGCTTGATGATCCTTCAAGGATAAGGCTTCAAGGATACAATTTTCCGACACCACAGCCCCCATCAATATGTCAGCATCATTCTACCAGTGTCTCAAGATCCTGGTTCAACATCCCACTCTGACAGGCAAAATCAGTTCTATGGCCAAATTTTGGGATCTTTCACCATTTGTTATTCCCCAAAGCTGAAGGGAACTGAGTGCATGACTACATGGTGGTCGTGATACAGAGAAAAATGGAGTTGTAGCCTGTTATCTCCACAAGGTGTTTCTAATTGAGCGCACAAGTAGCTTCACAGAATTTGATGAACAATCCCAACCCCTCTTTTGCTCCATGAGGATACTACCTCAATCTGTGATTTCTTTCTTTTCCCTCAATTAGAAGCCCTTACTGTCACAACCTAGATAAAATATAAAATTCATATTCACTCTGCACTCTAGATAAATAGAAAATTGATATTAAATGAGCTGGCATTCACAATGCATTATAGGTCTCTATCATTATGTCTTCAATAAATAACATTTTATATAACTTATTATTTTTTCCTATAAAGTCTGTTGACTTCACTATAGTGTGTTCATTCTGCAGATGACATATGTTTAATCTTGTTGTTTCTTCTATGACAGACGGGAACTTGCTAATATTACCCATTTTTGCTTTACTCCATTGCAAAAGTATTACCTTTCTATAGGACCAATTTATTTCTCTATTAAAACTCTAAGTTTCTCAATTTACATGCAGATGATTTGTAACACATAGTAAATTCCATTTGGATAATTTTCACAGATATTGTTTTGCATTGTTGGTCTAAAAATAAATTGTGATTTCTCTTGACTTATTCTGTAATTTAATAGGCATGGAAGTGAGGCTTTAAAAAAGGAATTTTTTTTAATTGAGTCACTGTGAGATACAGTTAAAATCTTTCAGGTTTGAGTTTCAATCATACAATGATTGAATACCCTTGAATACCCATCCCTCCACCAGTGCACATTTTCCACCACCACTGTCCCCAGTATCTACCCCATCCCAACCCTCCCCCTGTCTCTATGGCAGACAACTTCCCCCATAGTCTCTCTCTATTCTCTTTCTACTTTTATGCATTATGGTTTGCAATACAGGTACTGAGAGGCTATCATGTTTGGTCCTTTATCAACTTTCAGCACACATCTCCCTTCCCGAATGAATCTTCCAACCATCATTGACTTAGTAATCCCTTCTCTACCAACCATCATTGACTTAGTGATCCCTTTTCTATGCCAGCTGCCTTCTCCTCCAGCTCATGAGGCAGGCTTCCAAATATGGAGCAATATTCCTGGCTCTTGTTTCTACTGTCCTTGGGTGTCAGTCTGATAATTATGTTATTCAATATTCCACAAATGAGTGTAGTCATTCTATGTCTGTCCCTCTCTTTCTGACTCATTCCACTTAGCATGATACTCTCCATGACCATCCACTTATAAGCAAATTTCATGACTTCATCTTTCCTAAGAGCTACATAGTATTTCATTGTGTAGATCCAAAGTTTTTTTAACCAGTCCTCTGTTCTCGGACGCTAGGGTTGTTTCTAGATTCTGGCTATTGTGAACAGTGCTGCAATGAACGTACAAGTGCAGATGTCATTTCTACTGTGTTTTTTTGCACCCTTGGCATATATTCTCAGAGGTGGTATTGCTGGGTCATATGGAAGCTCAATTTCTAGTTTTTTAAGAATGCCCATTGTTTTCCAAAAAGATTGCACCAGTTGGTATTTTCACCAATAAGAGTCCTTTTCTCCCCACATCTGTACCAGAACTGATTGTTCTTGTTCTTTTTGATGTGTGCCAATCTCTGTGGTGTGAGATAATATCTCATTGCTGTTTTAATTTGTATCTCCCTGATGATTATCAATGTAGAACATTTTTTCATGTTTCTAAAAATGACTTTTTAAGAATTTAAAGAGATAATGTTAATAAAAATGAATGATATTGCACTTATCAAAGTGCTTTATACACAGAATATGTCAATTAAATTTATGATTGAAAGATTAATGAATGGGTGAACTGGTTTTGGGCCAATGCTTATACCTTATTATTCTGTCACTGATATCATTATTAGATTCACTTTGCTCTATGATTTCTCAAAATTAATCTTTCCTCTTTGTAACTTGTATCCAAATTCAGGCATCATTTTCTTAATTTCTTTCTCCACAATTCTAGGATTTTATTTATTAGGTTGTCTGTATCTTCCTGAATCCCATATTCTGATTCACAACTCATAAGTGCTAATTTAATCAATCCTATAAAAATGGAAAAAGATAAGTTCTCAGTGTACTTTGGATATACATCAAGGGAAGGTTATTTTTTCTATACTTATCTATTATTTCTTCTCATCACCTCCCACCACCGATGCCACCACTTGACAGAAAAAGCAGGAGCTTTCTGTCACTTATCTTGCCTCAGTATAATTTTACTCCACTTAAAATTAAACAAGGAAGACATAAACTAAAATTTATAATAGGAAAAACAGATACTTGGACAAATAATCTCTTTGGAGGTATGAAATTGAGGTCTGCTGAGAACATATAATGAGAATGATTATATTGTGTGATGTGATCATACTAAAAATGTCACATTGATTTTTTTTAACCCTCTGAAAACAGGTACTATTCTTATAAATAAATTCATTTAAATTAAAGCAATGCAATTATTCTAAAATAATGAAGCCAGTAGGTGTTAAAAATAGAACTCAAATTTAGTTTTGTGTTAGTTTGAATCCCATGTTCTTTTGGTTACTTTGCTAAGTCTCTCTTGCAGAAGACTCTGATCTTGGTGGATTTTATAAGAGTGGATTGTCTACAAAGCAATAGTGATATATGAATAGAAGCAACCATGGTCATATTCTTTAAATTCTGGTATTGAATCTGGATTCCAAATTTTACTTAATGATCTCTGAGCTCTAATATTTATCTATTGGGTTTTAAACGTTGGTCTGCTGTAAGGATTTTTAAATGAATATTGGAAGGAATTGAATTCTAAATTAAGTGTTTCAATTTTGAGGCCAGATAAGTGAAGCATATGGGGAATGGGTACAAAGGAGAAATCAGGAACGAGTTTTCCCATTTACCTCAATTTATAATTCCAACTTCTACCTCATCACAAGCTGTAGTTGAAATCGCTTTCTTTCAGGAGAGAAAAAGAGAAACATCATTGGGGAAGTTCTTTTTTTCCTCTTTTCCATTCCCAGTGTAAGAGATCATATGCCTCCTTTCCCCATTATCAACACAGCAACCAACTCAGACAAATAGGACCTCAGAGGCCTTGACTTCTGGGAATTTTCATAGACATAAAGTTGGCTTCTTGTCTCAGTTTCTGTCCAAGGCCCATTGTGAAACCATTGTGAGTTCAGTTTGTCGGTCTTTTAATTGTCACTTCACAAAGCTTTATCAGGTGAATTTGAATCTATTTCTATATTTTTAGAATGTATGCAAGAAGTGTTTTGATTACAATACTATTCCTTGTTCTCTAATATTCTTCCTTTCTTTATATCTTGGTTTATATCTATGCATATTTGCATATTTGATATAATTTGGCACACTGACCAGTAGTGTTATTTCTTACTATTCAGTTCTTTCTTAAAATTCAATTCTTGTTTATTGTTCGATCCTAGATACAACTGAATTTTATTCTTATTTTCATAATGAAATGGAAGTTTCACTACAAAATGAGTGATCATTTTGATCTCAGCCAAAATCTAGGCTAGTCTACCACTCCAAGTTTTAGTTTCTCTCTAAGGATAAAATAGTTTATCATGTTTATTCAGTGTTTCATATGTCATACAATAGCTTATTTATTTAAAAGAAACTCAAGCAGATGTGTTTCAGTCCTGTTTTACTAATAAATATTAGAAAACTGGGAAAGATTGTTGTTTTGCTCAATATTTTAGCTTTTAAAGGTGGGCTGTTAAGACAGAACTTATTCTTGGTGAGGAATAATGATTTTTCTTTTCAACCAGCAGGTGAAGGCTGCTTTCTGCTATGGTAACATGCAACTGAAAAGCAATGAAAGCGTAGACTTCCTCTCTGTCTTCTTGACTGGAATCCCGGGTCTGGAAGCTGAACATGGATGGCTTTCTATTCCATTCTTTGCCATGTACATTGTGGCCATTGTGGGAAACAGCCTAATTATGGCAGCTGTGCAGGCAGATACTGCCCTACATGAGCCCATGTATCTATTCCTCTCCATGCTGGCTGTCACTGAGGTTGGTGTCTCTGTGTCTACTCTGCCCACTGTCATGGGTATTCTTTGGTTTGATATCCGCAAGATTAACTTTGATGGCTGTTTGGCCCAGATGTTCTTTATTCACACCTTCTCCTGTATGGAATCAGGGGTCCTGCTAGCTATGAGTTATGATCGCTTTGTAGCCATTTACAATCCACTACGATACACAGCCATCTTGACCTTGTCACGCATCATCTCCATTGGGGTGGGCATTACACTGAAGAGTGTGATATTCATGGCACCACTTCCAATCCTTCTAAGAAAATTGCCCTATTGTCACGTTAATGTCCTCTCCCACTCCTACTGTCTCCATTCAGACCTGATCCAGCTGCCTTGTGCTGACACTAAACTCAACAGCATTTTAGGACTATCCATTGTCTTGGCCTCTTTTGGGCTAGACTCATTGCTCATTGTGGTCTCTTATGTACTGATTCTTTACACAGTTCTGGGCATTGCTTCTGGGGAGGGACGTCGGAAGGCTCTCAACACATGTGTGTCACATATCTGTGCAGTTCTCATATACTATGTGCCTATGATTGGTGTGTCTGTGATGCATCGAGCTGCCAAGCATGCCTCACCCCTGGCACACACACTCATGTCTAGTGTCTACCTCTTTGTGCCACCTGTACTCAATCCTATTATCTATAGTGTTAAGACTAAGCCAATCCGACAGGGAATTTTTGCCTTATTCCAGAAAAAAGAATTGCCCTGAATCATTTAACACGGCTCAGCTTTTGCATCAGTTCAAACTATGGCAGCATTTCTGCTGTGGGCAAAACTCTGTATTAAGCATTTTGAGAAAGAATATGTATAAGGAATTCAAATCTTTGTAGCACAGTTGATTGTAGACCACAACAGTTATACCTAATCCGTCCTTTCTCATATATTATTAATATGTTTTATCTCTAAATAATTATATCTGATGTCATACAGATATAATTAGTTTTAGGATAGAGATTACAAATCTTTCCCTTTCCCTCAAAACTTCAAACAACGACAACAAAAATTTAATAAATGATAAATTAAAAATAAAGGGTTGGGGGACTGAATGATAGTACAGCAGATAGGGTGCTTTCCTTTCACATGACTAACCCTGATTCAATCCCTGGCACCATGTATTGTCCATCAAGCACCAGAAATGCTCCCTAAACACAGAGCCAGGAGTAATCACAGAGCCAGGAGTAATCCCGGAGCACTTCCAGTTGTAACCCAAACCTTGTGTCCCAACCTCCTCCCTCCAAAAGATTGAGGCTTAAAGGTATTTAAATTGACATAAAACAAACTTTTGTTTTGATGACTTAGGCAGAGGTTAACTGTTTATCCCTATAAAGATGATACTCCTAGGAGTGTGCCTTTGAGTGAGGGAAGCAGACTCTGATTTGCTCCAGGTAGTCATGGTATATATTTAGAGTCTTCAACATCGCTTTCAATAGCACATCATTCCCTTCTCAAAAGTGTTCTTATTTTAACAACAAATTAAATGTACTCAGAGACATGGAGGAAAGAAACGACTGCTTAAATAGTTTTAACTTAGGTATAAAGTAAAATATGAACACAGACATAATTTAATTGAGATCCTAAGAATTCTGGCAAATGCGGGAAGGAAGTTCTGCTTTTATAGAATTTCAAGTCCTCCTGTTAGATAAACATACACTGCCAAATGGGTCTGGTGTTCCTGACCTTGGATATTACCATTCTCCTTTCTTCTGTTACCATAAGCCTTTGGCAAATTTAACATGCCCCGTGAAAGGTACATTTGTATGTGTTCTTTGATTTCCACCCCTCTTTCAGCCCTGTCAGCATGGATCTAGCAGGCACTGCTTGCTTCTGTCTAGGTATTTAGGTTTCTTGGAAATCTTTGGTCAAACAAGGACCATGCTTACACTCTCAAACAACACAGCTCTTAACGTAGAGTGTATTTTTAGGACTGAGCTGATTGGTGAATGACTAGTCTCAGATTTTGGACATTTCTCATTTCAGGAATTCTAATTAAAATGCTTTCCTCACTATATGTTATTTTCCCTTAATCTATCAGACTCACCAGGATTATCTTCACAAGTAAACCTTTCAAAGCACTCAGTGTGTTTGGAATTATAAGCAGAAAATTTTTATGTACTCCATGAAACAATAAAAACAAAATTTTGTACTTTCCGGTTGACAACTAATTTTTATTATTAAATTAATAGGGTTGTTGAACATATATTTGGGGACATATAATAGCTGGTTTAAGATGAATGATTATATTATATATTTTAATGTTCAATTGTACCTAAATGCTAACTGAACCTAAGGGCATCTGGCATCATGAATTGAGATGTGTATAAACACTTAATTTTAATCTCAGATTTTTTCTATCAGTCAATTTTCCACTTTAACCAATATTTTATTTTATTTCACCAAAGTGTTTTGATCATATAATGCATTTTTATGCTTAAACCTATATTACTATGTTATCATAAACCATTGTATCATAAATATGAATATAAGGTAAAATTTTAAGTGAAAAATGGTGGCACATAAAGCAGTTTTTAAAATGTATTATAGACTAAGTTGTTTTTCCAATATTTATTGTACATAGTTGATAACACCAACATAGGTATAATATAAATATTGATATGTATATGATAAAATTTTAATAGAAATTAATCTTTTAATGAGATATACAGACCTTTACTGAATCTGAAAAAAAATACAATGATACAGGTTCCAGAAGAATTATTTCTTTATCCCATTTTTGTATATATTAATACTGATGTTTGATAACTTAATAAAAAAGGTGGGAATAGAACTGTTTCCTCAGAGTCCTGTTACACTTTTAATGCTTTGGGGATTAATTAGCAAAATTATATGATGATATCTTATCAATAATATTTAATGACCTCATAAGTGATAATTAATTTGTCTCTGTTTTCAAAGTCAAAAAAGTATGCAATTTGCTTTATTCTATAGTTGGTTATAGAATTGTTGATGTCATTTACTTTATGCAGATCTATACTAAATTCCCAGTTTTTCCTTTGTTTTGTCCCTTTGTCTTTTTCTTTCTTATTTTAGTTCAATTTAATTTTTCTATTTAAAGGTGGGAGAGCTGGTAAAAAAGAGGAATGAGATTGTAAAGAGGAAGCAAATATTGTCCGACAGGAGTAGTGAAACTAGATTTTCTCCAACAAAGCAATTTAAACAAAGAGAGTATATGGATATTAAGTGTCTAAAAATTATAGCATTGTAGCACTGTCCTCCCTTATTCATTGGTTTGCTCAAGTGGGCACCAGTAAGGTCTCCATTGTGAGACTTGTTACTGTTGTTACTGTTGTCACTTGTTACTGTTTTTGACATATTTAATGTGCCATGGGGAGCTTGCCAGGCTCTGCACTGTGGGTGGGATTCTTTTGGTAGCATGACAGGCTCTACGAGAGAGATGAAAGAATTGAACCCAGGTCAGCCGCGTGCAAGACAAACAGCCTACCTGCTATGCTATCGCTCCAGCTCATCTAAAAATTACATTATTTAAAATTGTTTATGTACAGATACTTCCAGAAATGTCTTCTTTTCTTTGGGTATTCATGTAATTATTTTGAAGGCTTATATATTAGACATCCTCCAATATCTTCTCTATGACCATGTAATTATATGCAGAAATTTTCATTAAATTTCATCACCAAATAACATGAGAAATGATTCCCTCTATAGTGGTATACAAAAACTTGTGAATGAATGTAAAAAAGATGTCTTATGTATGTTTCCTCATCTTCTATCTTCATTTCTACCTAACAACTTTTGCTGTTGTTAGGAGTTCATGATCTGTGGCCATAAAATTTAATAGACAAATTACTCTCTTGAGATATATATATGGAAATTATGCATGAAATAATATTTTATTTTGAAATTAAGAATGGTTTAAAATATGAAAGCTTAAGAATGAATATTGCAGTAATTTCTTGGTGCAGGATCAATAGCTCTTGCTAAGCTTTAAAAGTCAGGAGATGGATATCTCTCAAAAGCTACAAATGTATATTTTTGAAAAGTGATGAAATTTTGTTTTTGTAATTACTTTCATAGTCACTTCTTTCATAATATAACTTATTACTGGCAGCAATATTCACAATCATTATTCAGAAATACACAACATTAGATATTATTCTTAATAGATTTATAATCATTCAGATATCCAAGCTTAGACAAATTTAGAACTATTAAAGCATAATAAAAATATAAGAAATTATCAAGCCTTCTTACTGTTACACTCACAGATTGTAACTTTGAGTAATAATGTCTAAAGTTCAAAAGCACAGTTTTTATGTAGCAGATTTGGGTTGATTCTAACATGGTAACCCCTAGGCCTACATAAATATTGAGTACTTGAAATGTTCCTTGTTTTAAGTGATATGTTGTCATGTGTGGGAAGCCAAGAGCCCTCTCATAGACCCTGGCCATGGTTCCCATGTTAGGAACTGCTTGGGACAGACACTGGTGACAGTCTCCCAGGACTTCCTGATCTCAGCGGATACCTGATCTATAGCCACACATCAGGCTGACAGCTTATCTGGCCTTATCTATAGTAACCTCCAGGATGCATCTACTCCCTAAGACCCTTTGATATACAAATGTAAAGCTCAGGATGAACCTACTGCCACAAGACCCTTTGATGTGCAAATGTCTACCTTGAATGTTAGGTAAAGCTCTTGTTGCTGACCTTACCATATATGGTTATATTGCCTCTGCTCCTGACTGAGCTGCCTGGACCCTATATAAACAGCCTGTATCCCTCAATGAAGCCTGTCCCTTTTTCTCTCTGTTTCTAAACTGTACTCTGTCTCTTGTGTCTAGTGTTCATTCGGTTGGTCCCTCCTTGCACCATCGGATCAATCCTCGGGCCACCTCCACGGGCCAGAGAGTGGTTACCGGGGCCCCCTGCAGTCATGCTCTGACTAGACTTTAAAGATGTCACAATAAATAAAAACAATGCAAAATGCCCCATTTAAAAATTTTGTGTTACTTTAGGACATATGCCTTATATATATGGGTTCTCCGAATTCAAGGCCTGACACCACATATGGACCCCTACGGAGTGATCCCTGAGTACTGAGTAAAGAATAAGCACAGTCATTCCCCACCAAATTGGGTTGCAAATTGAAATGATAATATTTTGGTATATTGGTTTTAACAAGATATCACTTGAAATTTACTTTTACCTACTTCTTTTCAGTAATATCACTACTATAAAAATCGTAACATAAATTTATCTTATATTATATGTCTATTATACAGTAAACACTAGGATCAAAATGTGGAAACAAATAGAAATAGTAGCAAACTAGAATAACAAGCTGATGTTATCTATCAGTATCTGTTTAATAAATTTTATAAAATTAGGGTCATGAATTTTCCAGCACAAGTGACAGAAAAATAACATCCCACATTTCATAACTTTGTATATATATATATTTGTACATCATATATTATATATACATACACATGTACAGGAAGAGAGTCTAACTTTGATACTGTAATGACTAGTCAAGTCTAAAAAAATTGCAACCTAGCTTTCAAATTGCCAGGTAAAGAAATATAATTACATATCATGTTTTGAAATTCATAATCACAAAAAATAAATAAAAATGATCATACTCATAAATGTTTATCAAATAACGTTTTATATAAATACAGAAATATATTTCAGGTACTCATCTTAGTATCTTGGCAAGAGTAAATTGC